ACTGTATATTTGCATATTTCATTTCAAGTTTATTTCTACGGCATATTAGAAATGTATAATTATTGCAAAAAAAAATGTTTCTGACCGTGCATGTGTATTCTGTATATCAGATTCAATGCGGACAGAGAATGTATATAAAAATCTGAATCTCATTTATTGGCTGCACCTACTCATGCAATTTGAAAGCATCAAATTGACCATGTTTTATAAGCTAATGCTAAACGCTTAGCTGACGTCAACTTAAAATATTACAATATGTTGATCAGTGATACAAATTTTTATTACTATGAAACTGAAATACATGAATTATTGTCAAAACACACGACGTTTACGTTTAAGTAAGTATATTTTAGAGTCCCATTAAGTTCGATGATTGCTATTATTTTCATTTCTTTGAAAACCTGCTATTGTTCTATGCCCTGTTTCAGGCAGTATTTATTTGCAATATAGGTTTACTATCTTTTCAATGTTTTGCTTCTTTGCATTTAGTACAGTTAATCATAAGTATTTCATATGCTACCCGTATGACACATATTATTTCACACTCGGCACTTCTAACATACAGTTAAAAGCACATAGCATGCTCTTAATTAATAACTGACACATTACTTAACACATGTTTGTCTCTAATAAAGAACAGTCAATTCATATTAAAAATCAACCGTCATTTTTATTAAGATTTATTTTTCTAAATTTTTAATATCTAACTACACTCGAGGATGACAACTAATTAAATAACAACACAACCAGCAAAGGCCTTGAAAGGCATTTGGTCAATAACGACACATTTAAAGCTTTTAATAATTATATTAGATTTTAACCACTACCCCTAATCACTTTGTAACCAGCAAATACCTCGAATGGCATTTGGTTAATAATGGCACAATTGAAGCTTTTTAAGATTATATAAGATTTAAACGATTCCCCATAAACTAACTAATACCTTGAATGGCATTAGGTAAATAAAGACATAATAATTGCATCTTTCTATTTTTATTAAATTTCAACGATTATTCCTTATCAATTTGTAAACCAGCAAAAATCTTGGATACCATTTGGTCAATTACGACACAATCAAAGTTTTTTATTTTTATCTTAACTTTGAACGATTCACACATATCAATTTGTAAACCAATGAAACCACATATTATCGTAAACGAAAAAGGTTCATTTGTCAGAACATACACATAATGTTATAGCCTGGGATTGAGGCCTTGATATTTTTTTTGCTTATTCATAACTTACGCGCTACTTCTTACTCGATCGTCATAGATAACACAGCATCTCTGGTTTTGATAGTATCGATTTGCCGAACAGAAGCACATAAAAAATCGACAGACTGGAACCCAGGCTAATAATGTTATACAATTTGGTAAAACATGCAGATGTATTGCGACTAAAAGTAAAATTAAATCATCATATCATAGCAAATCTTTTTTTATTATTGAACAAATAAATAATCTTCATTCTCAAATCATTTTATTCTCTACTCTTCCCTCATAGAAAAACGTTTAAGACACCTTTTTGAAGTTAAAAAGTGTAGATATGAATGCGTGACCGCCGAATAAGTTAACATACATTCAAACGAGGTCGAGCATTATTGTACAGAAAGGACGGCGATTTTATTTTTTAAGATTTATCAAACGATTGTAAGTCAAGCTTCACCTCACATTTCATTGACATGTAAACTTTGGGACACTTCAAATGAGTTCAATGGAACATTTGATATGTTTCAGTCTGGATGTTTATGTTATATAAAAACGTAGCGGCAATTTTCAGGTCAGTGAACTTTATTTTGAATGGGGAGTGCTGGAAGGTTATGTGCTTTGACTTTCATGCAACAAAGCAAGATAAAATGTTCATAATACGATACTTAATCTTTTAAATAAGCTTTATATTTTTATGATATTAAGATTTATTTGTAGGAAACCAATTATAAGTTAAATGTTTATGAATGCAATATGTCTGTTACAATTAGATAGCATGATTTGTCCAGCTAGCTTACGGAACGTCGGTGGTTCTACTCAGGTACCCGTTCGTGCCTGAAATAATGCACGAAGGGCACCTGAGGTCTTCTTCCACCAGTAAAGCTGGAACGTCGCGATATGACCTATACTGTGTCGATGTGACGTAAAACTCAAAACAAAACAAACAAAAAAAAGCATGAAGTGTTTGCTTTCAAATACCTAACGTTATCAATGCAGCGTAATATACTTCAATCAACATGACATTTAACATGAAAACATCATTAATTATATGCCATTAATTCATTTTAATTTAATTAAAAGTATGTATATACAGAATGTTTGGAATTTCTTTGGACTGTATTAAAATCTTGTTCATGCTAGGAATCAATTGCTTTACATGGATTTTTTTCATAATTTATCATTTCAATTTTATACATATTCGTTATCGAATTTATATTCCCCCCTCTCTCCCAATTACAAATTAATAAATAAATAAATAAATAAATGAATAAATAAATAAATAATAAAGTGGGGGAATAGGGTGGATAGATGGTTGGTATCGGGGCTTCTTTCACCTTCGAAATAATTATGACACTTTTGATACATTTTACTTAATACATAAAATAATATTCGACAGCTCATATTATTTTAAAGCAAATTTTAATTTACATTAAGGTACAATAAGGGAAAATACGATGAAGTTATGAATCTGCCCTAAGTTACAAAAAAATGATATATATAGGTAGAAATCTGAATAAAGTCATATCATAAAAGTGTGACATGATACATAATTATTGCTGTGACAGTATAATATATTTGATGACATAGCTAAAGGATATATTCACGAACAGGTACTGCTTTGTACTGTCTTATACTGGTTTTTGTTTTATTTTATTAGATAAAACTAACTAAAAATATCTACTCAAATTTAAAACCAACGATCACTATCATGCGTCTTGAACCGTGGATCAATGTGACAAAAAAATCTGTACTTTGGGAAAAATATCAACATCTTGTCGAAATATCTGAACACGCTGAGCGTTCAGCTAACTTTTTAATTTGATTTATATAGCCACATTAGTGCAGTAATGGAATAAGTCTTTCTAAATTTAATAATTCAGAGATTATAAGTTATTGCACTATCGCATTTTCAACAGAAAGCCCCCCCCCCCAAATTATGATACAATTGAATTTGTTTTAAGTCGGGCGTGTACATTTTTGTTTATCTTTTTATCTTGAAAAAATAATCTAAGACCAGTCTGATAGCGGGTGTTTTTTTTGTAACATCGACATGTAGATGTTTCAATAACTTCTCCACAGTAAACTGGATCAATTATTCCAATGAGCGTCAAATCATATCATTACTATTTTTAATGTAGTAATGTTGCCTTATTAATATATAGAACAAATGGTGTGTATTTCTTTGGCAAAAAATGAACGGATAATTCGTTACATAAAATACTAGTATGCCAAATAAGAAGTACGAAAATCTTTTTCACGAAATACAGTTTACTATATTCTATCCTCTTAAATAGCATTATATACTGCGCATAAATTTACGCATACAAATGCATTTTATTTAAGCTGCGATGTAAATAAATGAGTGACGTTTAAATGTAGCTTTGATACTGTTTATGACCAAACAAACCAAAGAAGCAGATATTATTTACACAACATGAAACCCTGAAGAGAGAAATTAGTATGTAATTCACAACCCAACCTATAATTATCTCCTACTTATCGAAAAAGAAGTTTGTGTTTGAGTTACAGATTTATACCTTAGTTTGATACCAGTTTGATAACATGAAAAATACATGAAACATATATTGCATGATTTATGGCAAAAAAAAGATAAATAGAAAGTCAAAATGAATGGAAATAAATGACAAATAAAGTTCTGAAAAGTTCATGAAGTATGTTTGTGTAAACGTACAGAGGGGCACCCGAGGTCTTCCACCGCCAATAAAGCTAATAAGTCGTCATATGACCTCAACTGTGTTGATGCGACATTAAAACTAACAAAATAGGTGTAAAGGCATAGTTTTTAGCCTTCAGGAGTAACTTTGAACAGAATTTGAAACATAAAATAGTAACGTTCCGTTATAATAATTGTGTATGCCTCTGTTGCAAAGGTACAACACTTTAACCCCTCTTAATTTTGGAAACGTATCGATCTATTCAAATAAATACGTTCCAAATTAACTTAAAGGCTAGTAAGAGACATTTATATTGCTTAATCTAATTTCTTGTCTTGTCCAAAATTATCTGATAATGTATAATGAAATTATTGCATTGACCACATATAATTTTTAATAAGAATCTTGTTTGAGGCAAATAAACTGTGATTTAATAGTGTGACAAGCACTTTCACAAAACATAACGAATGAAAACTTCAATTACTTTTTCAGCTAAATGTATAAACTTAAGGAAAACACTTTATATCTCGCAAAATATTTATTTTCATAAACGTTTGATAAAAAAGTTTCAGTCAGTAACCTTTCAATAAGGTGATCCCTAGCCTCATTATTGGTCTTAAATTACTTTTAATCAAACAATTCACTTGGCCGTTAAAAATGTAAACTAATAATTAGATTTTTATCCGGTGTTCTCAAAGCTTAGTGTTTTTTATCTTGATGAATGTGATGTTACCTTTTTCGTAAGCATATGATAAGGAAACGTCATATTTTGTATTATTTTGATAAAGTTGAAACTAAGGTCAAATAATCGTCCGCATCAAGGATTTCTAAATATTAGAAATTGATGTTTCACATTAAACAGGAAACTCAAGGGGTTATATAAATACGATTTGAAACACAAACGAAATCTATTTGTTTGCTTTTTAATGTTCTATTGTTGTACTTTAAAGAAAAAATAATAAAAAATTGTATCTATTTTTATAAGATTCGATGATTACATAATTTCTTCACAAACTCGAACAATTGTTTTTATTATAACCAAAATTTACCGAAAATAACCAAAATGACGAATCGATATTTTTAATATGCTTGACATTTAAAATATCTTATATTTCAGGATTCTGTATTCTTGTGTTGACAGGTTATTATTTTTTATAGCAATATGCTTGGTTTTTCACAATCGTTCTGCTATATTTAATCTACTGAAAACATCTTATTTTGAAAAGCTATTATGATAGCTATTGTATAGCTTAACAGTGTAAATATGACAAATTACTTAAGCCAGAGTGCTTAATGTATACCAATTCGTTTAGCACACATTTATGTAAAAGGTCAGTTTTGCAAATTAATGGACGGATGAACGATTTCGCACACAATTTAGTGTAATAAAATTACCAAAGGCTTCTTATATATCAAAATCATGCATTGCATAATATCCGTACTAAATCACCTAGTGCTTTGCACACCATTTAAAAAGAAAAGAAAAAACTGTTTCGAAATAGTTTGTAGCTTTTGCGTCCATGCGTTTGTTGCATGATCAATGGGTTTGCTGCACATTACCTTATTAGTATCAAAAATCCTTGCAAAAAGCAGGCATTCAAAGATAACAGCATCTTGTTTGAAATTTCATAAGAACAACAATAAGAAACTGTCCTTTTATAACAATGTCGTATGCATTGACATTAAACTATATACATTTGTATATCAAAAGGCATTAACCCAAAAGTGCATCGCATAGATATGAGAGTTTTTACCAAAGAAGTTTCAAGCTGATTTTTTTTTTTAATTTTACACACAAGTTATTTGTCTACATCTTTATCAAGGGTACATAAATATCGAATAAAAGTATATCAATGCCCAGTGGTGTCGTTTTAAAATAAAGAAAAAAAGAAAGAAAGAAAAAAAAAGTCTTTAAAAAATTCTCACAGTGATAAACTCCACGCATTATATAATTATTTAATTTAAACTAAATAAAAAATCCATATGGTCACAAAGTTTTGTGACAAACTCTTTTATCTTATTGAAATCGTTGATCTATGCATGTTTATATACTATGGAATTATACTCTTAAAGATCCTGTATGTTTTGTGATTGATATTGTTACTGTGCGTTTACCACACTTGCAAAAAGTTATATATGTATAAGTTTTTTTTTTGTATATATAAGTTTTTGTATATCAAAGAATATGTAAAATGTGTACTGCTAATATCTGTGCACATTATATTTAATCAATAAAACACATGCATTTATTTCTTATTGGAAAATTTGACTTACAATTCATAAAAAATAAATTCATATTACCTCCCTTTACATGAAATGTTAATTGGGAAATATCTTTATTAAATAAATGCTTATTGGAACTTACAATATTGACAATCATAATTTGAGCATCATATTTATGAAATTAAACCATGAAAAAATTGTGTTACAGGATCTTTATTTATCTTTATCAATTTCATATGTGTATTTAAATTTTGTAACAATTTTTCTTCCATCAAACAAGATTAGAATTGTACTAGACAGGGACACTTGAATTTCTCTATACCTTAAAGTATGACTGTATATACGTATCCTACATTTTGTCAATCTTTCTTTACATTGCTTGAATAAGTTATTTGAAACTAGATACACTAGCAAAAGTTCAGTATTGTATTCAGCGGAGACGTACCTAATACATTTTTATAATAATCATTTTCAGGTGTTGTAGCCAGGTACATAAACATTTGGCCCATCATTTGGCAAAATATAACTGAAAAGGAACAACGTATAAACAAGAGAAATCACCGAAATGACAATTTAAAAGAATTTTCTAATTTAAGTAAAACATAAGAAAATTGTTTTTTGTACAATTTATAAAGAAGTTATTTTTGACAATGAGTGCGAAGCAGTTGTCAGTTGCGTTTTTACTTGTGTTGGTTGCCAAAGGAATTACACAAGGCACTACAAACTGGCCAAAAGGTAAGAACAATTTAAACACTGCATTTTAAATACTTGTTGTTTTTTAAATAAGTACATATCACTAAGTAATGTTATGCATTTTTTCCCTTAGAATTGATATATTTGCTGAAAAAGAAGTTTGAAAATACATTTAGGTGATATTGGTGTCCATTTGTATCGGGTTAATTACAAATGTTTTTGTACAACAAATTTTGCACTAACTAAAGACAGGCCGTTATATTCTATGGAGCGTATATCTAATAATATACAAACATTCATTTATGCAAACGTATTTACCACAGACTTGCAGAAACAATTAAAGAAAAATCCCATGAAAAATATATTAAATATCACTATTGAAGCGATTTTTTATATTCTTTAAAGTACGTTAATCTTTTAACTAGTCGCCTTATTGCACAAACAGAAAGATCGGTGTAAAAGTAAATTTGTAATTCTAATTAATAACAAATTCTCAGTTTGATTTGAATGAAAGCGTTGGAACGCTTTTCTAGTTTTGGCCATTTTTCACAATTAGAATAGCAGACCTGCAATTTTGGGATAATACCTAATATACAAAATGGAACATTCATCTCATAAAAAAATCCAAGTTCCGTCATGACAAAAACCGTGTCCTTTCAGTTTTGGAATGGTATATACAAATGATGATAAATAAAATTAAATATAATGATACGTCTCGTCAAGAGAACATGATAGAAGCAAATATACCTACCAAATTAGCATTCTTCGCACATCCTGCATCCTTTCTCAATTCATGTCAACGTATTATACAAACAACAACAAAAACAAACAGTTATAATCATTATTTGCTTTGCAAGTGATATCAAATTTAGTTAGATGTTAAGTTTTGATATGTTTCATAACTTTGCTATAAGTGTAGACAGGCTCATAAATCTAACATCTGATAAAAATGATTTGTTCGCAAATTCAGCGCTGAATTGAATCATATTTAATTTGTACTTTCATAAGAGCGTAACTTGGGCAATCATTTGTACACGAATAATGTGTTGATGTTAAATATCGGATGCACGAAGTAAAAAAATGTATTTCATTTGCACCCCTTAACCCCCCGCCCCCCCAAAAAAACAGCAAAAAAAAAAACCAACAAAAAACAACAACAAGATCAAAAGGTTCAATGAAAACATTAAAACCACCGTTAATTATTTTGTTTCACATTTTAAGTAGTTTAACTTATGTGTTTTCTTATTGTTGTAAAGTCATGTTACGTAACGTTACATTATGCCAATTACGTCATATTGTGTTGCATAAGCTTTATTTTGTATAACGTTACATACTTATATGCTTTACATTCATTCAATGTGATTCAAATATTAAATGAAAAGGAGGAAGACACAGAATTAATGAAATCCGTTGACATCATACTGCATTTAATCTTTCATTAAATAAAGATTCACACGGAATAAATAAAACCCGGGTTGTTATAATTGTTAACATAGTTGAAGTAGTTGTCGGTATTTAAGGGATATTTTTTATTATAGATAAAGCATTAAACATGGCGAGGGCATGATATTTAGTACAAAGAGTGCGCTTTTCAGAACACAAAAAATACAGGCGGGTTCATAGTGACTAGGTGAACATTTTCCATAAAGGGTTATTTATAAATCCTTTTACGTCTTATTTTAAACTGAACTTGCAATAATTCTGATTATTATTAACGAAAGATAACGAAATAATCAAAAGGTGTATATTATATGTATAATTTTGCTTTTACAGTTTTGTTTAAAAAATAACAAACAGTTTAATATGCGTCGTAAAATTGTTTGATTGAAATTAAAATGTTTAAACTTAGAGTCGCAATTTGTCGATCACGACGCATGGGTCATGTGGGGTACTATATCATGTTACATAATTAGGTATATTTTAAAAATACTTATGAAATCGTCCTACAAAGCATGACATTCTTACAGAAGTACATTTTTGACACGTGGCATAACACCCGTGTATCTATCAATAGATTAAATGAGTGTAAAGCAAATGTAAAGATGCAGCTGATTTTTTTTAATTTGCACTTTTTACAATTGCTGACCTTTACCCTATTTATATATCAAATATAATAATTTACTTATTTTTCTTCACTAAAATAACTTAATCATAAAATTTGAAAAGTGTCACTTACGTTTTTATGTGCGTTTTTATATGTTTTGTTTGTTCTTAAAAATCATGCAACAAATGTATCATACAAAAAACGCTTTAATCTTCCATTTTTGCATTGTAGGCAATTGCTACAGTGTTAATGTATTTATGTGTCTACTTTATTCATTTATTAATTATTTTTGGGAGGGGGTGGGGCTGGGATGAGGATGGGGGCGTGCGATAAGTCATTTTCAAAACAAAGGGTGGGTCCATAAATGTTTTCATTTTTCGCTTTCACACTGAAACATTGATAGTCCTTTTTGTATTTCTATCTTGGCGTTTGGAAAAACGAGTTGATTTTGTAGCGAACATATTTCAGATCGTGGTCTTATATTTACGACCTATTATACATGGAGCAGCGAAATCAAAGGTAGAATACGACATTTACAGGGATTTCCGGGATATGAAATCATCACAGGTGAATACGCTGGCTATGATGACGCAATCACGCCTGACATTCCGAATTTTGCGTTCATCAACGAAGATACCAAAATGCAAAGCATCGATGTTGACTTCCGGGAGAAATCCGTCTTCATGCATGATGACTTTTCGAGGTAAGAGCGTTCGTTCTTTCTTCCGTTCGTTCGTTCTTTTGTTTCTTTTCCCGTTAATTCGTTCTTTTGTTCGTTCGTTCGTTCCTTACTTTCTTTCTTTCCTTCCTTCCTTCCTTCTTTCTTTCTTTCTTTCTTTCTTTCTTTCTTTCTTTCTTTCTTTCTTTTTTTCTTTCTTTTTCCTTAGTTCGTTCGTTGGTTCCTTCGTTCGTTGGTTCGTTCGTTCCTTCGTTCGTTCGTTCGTTCCTTCCTTCCTTCCTTCCTTCCTTCCTTCCCTTCTTCCTTCCTTTCTTCCTTCAACTCATTTGTTATTTTGTAAACTTTCGACTCTTAATGTTAGAGAAAGGTCAATAACAATTTTACCGTATCGTTTTCTCTGATAATTACAAAGCACGTTTTGTGGAACGTAATTATGGAATGATAGCAACATGTTTATATTAGGCTAGTTAATATCTCCCTCTTTCATTTTTCAGTACAATTGCATACATCAGAGACTATAACACAGACCTTAATAACATTACAATCAACAACATGGACCTTGCAGCGTCTAAGGGGACGGCACAAGTAGCGGTAGACTGGCTATCACATACAGTTTATTGGACTGATACCTTATTTAGACGAATCATGGCAGTTCCTGGCCAACCTGACAAGTTGAAGATGGGCTATTATAAAATTATTATTGAAGAAAGTGTAGGAGCACCAATGGGTATTGCAGTTGATCCACATGAAGGGTATTATTTAAAGGTCCATTATGCCTAAGAAATGCTTTTATTCATGTTTTCAGAAGCTTATTTTATTTTTGATGTCCAGTTATATTTTCCAAAACGTTAGTCATAGGACAAAAACCTGAGCCATCTTTTTTCATCCGTTTATTTTATTATTTTTTTTTTGCAATAAGTACATGTACAGTTATAGTGATTTAGTATTTTGTATGGAAGTCAAAATACTATTTTCTTTACAGTCTGTTACTTAGATAACCAACTATAATATTACATTCAACACTTGCTTCAGGTAATAAGCATCTAACATGTTCTTAAACTATAACCTAAAAGTTATAAAACTCTCATTTGCCCTTTCTACAGAAGGAAATATGTTTTCGTTTCTGAGACATAATATGCTTTCGATAAACATAACTTTCCTGGTACTAATTACTGGGAAACACACATTTGTTCATTTTAATCATTTACTTAAAGTGTAGCTTTTGACATTATAGTCTTTAAAGTCGTGAGTACATGTATATAATGATAACTGCATGGTGTATTGACCAGAATAACATCAGACTTTTTATTGTGTTTAAGTAAAAGTAGTAAACATGCATAAAAAACTTACGACAGCCTTTATAGAAAACTATAGTTTCATTATTTTGCGTCAACAAATCACGACGTCTTACCGTTTACGTTGAAACGAATGTGGTTCTTCAATAATGGTTTTATATTTGTATCTATATTATGTCATATATATATATATATATATATTATAATGAGCCTTGACAATAGCAAATACATTTTCAAAATTGTCATAGAAATTTGCATAAATCTGGAAGCATACTGTTTTAAGTTAAATACATGCAGTGAATTTCATATTTCATACAACTTATAAAACATATTTATAAGGAATTGTCAATATTGCATCAACGCTTTCCTCAGTTTGATTGAAATAAGGTACTGTATTTATAAATAATATAAACGTCACGACTGAGCAATGAAAACTGACGTTACAAACGTTCATACTGACATATAAATATTTCAATAATGTACGTAGTATTAAAAGTAACGACTAATAAAACAATGCAGTTAATAAAGATTTGCATGCTTTTTAGGCTATTGTTTTGGTCAGACGTTGGAGCTGAACGTAAAATAGAAAGGTCCAACCTTGACGGGAACTTGGACTCAAGAGAAACATTTTATCTTGCTGATAATTCATATCCGTCATGTCTTGAATTAGACCGTAAAGAGAGAAAAATATATTGGATAGAAAGATCTTTAGACAAAATCTTGTATATGACATACGAAGGAAAAGAGCGAACTTTGCTAAAAGGAATGAGTGGCGTGACTTTATACGATATGGCACTATTTAGGGTAAGTTTTACGTGTATAGGTGATGACTACTGAACAAGTATTGTTTTTGTTTGTTTGGTTTTAACGGCGCACCAACACATTGCGCCGAAAACAGGAATGATGATTTTGGCTAACCTCGGGTGTTGCAAATTTAAAGCAACACCAGGGATCAAAACCACCCTACCTGCTCGAGCTAAGAGATGCATAGACTCCAGTAATTCGAAACCATTTAGCCGCCTCTTGCGATCACGCAGGGATAAACGGTGGCGTCAATTAGGATGCCTCAACCCTTAAACCCCTCAGTCACAAGGGGCAAGTTTTGTTTACTTGGTCATCAAATTTTTTATTTTAAGTTAAAACTATATATAAACATGTTTGAACATTGCTTGCCCAACATCTTCCAAAGGTCCCTGCAATGTACCAATTTGCAAATGGTATTTTGACATATTTCATAAGTCATTGATGCGTTACTCTCCTGTATCTACCTGTAGTTAATAATATGTAGGGAAATCTAATCCTTCTAAACTTTAAAATATTAATATTCCTCTTTCAAGTTTATTTAATGTGAATTGGTCTACATTGTGCACATTTTCCAGAAGTATTTTAAACATTGATAGAAGTATTTTAAATATTGATAAAATCTATAGAAATATATCATTTAGATATTCTTATAGAATATTTATAGAATATTGCTTGAAAGAAAATATATGTTGATAAAGTCGTAAGTAATTAACTTAAAGGATGAACATTTTATGATTAATTATAATAATAATAATTGTTATATGTGCTATATAGATATATGTGATGTCGGATCATGTATTTCAACACTTGCTAATGGCATTTATGTGTGTTTTTTGTGTTTCTTGTTTTTCCTTTTTTTTTAATGTGTAATACTAAATAATATCAACGTAATTATTTATTGCTTCACATACCTTCTATTATAGACCAATTCACTTTAATTTCAACTTTTTATTTTTTTCCCAGGATGTTTTGTATGTTAGCGACACTTATGAGGGCTATTTGTACACAATAAATAAGACGAAAGAGGGCAATGGTAAAATGGAGGCAGAAATTATCACTTACTACCCTCATGATATTTACGGTGTGGCGGTATTTAGTGAAGAAACACAGCCTCTGAGAGATAGAGGTAGACTTTAAGTATATTTTCCGTTGGCCTGTGCAAACAACATTGTACCCGAGCAGACAGTTTGTACTGCAGTGGGTTTTTTTTTCAGTCATAAAACTGTAAGAAGTAAAATCAATGAAAAATCTGAAATGGCTAAAACTAAAATATTTATATTATGTAAAATGACTTGAATAAATATATCCAGTAATTTTACCTTGCAATACATATACAGCGCGAACACGCGGAGGTTTCTAATTTTTGTGTGTGCGAAATTTTACTTTGTACGCTTAATATGACGTAATAACTGTGTGTCTTCATAATTCTACTTCAATTTCAGATTATTGCGCCATTTTGAAATGTGACCAGTTTTGTATTACGATAAAAGGCAGTGCGATATGCGCATGCGCTGAAGGACATAGTCTTAATTCAAGTACTCGTAAATGTGAAGGTCAGTGCATCTAGGTGAAATTGTATTTTCTAGTTTTAGGATAAAGAAGTTGATTGATTTGATAGAAAGTAGACATTAAAAAATTAATTATTTGAAACTTGAAAAATACTTTTTGCAAGGACTATTTTATATTTTTTATAGAAATATGTTAAAAAAATGTTCCTCGTTCTATGTATGAGAACAATTTCTGGCAAAACTTGACAATTAAATATGAACATATTGTCACTTTTAAAACACTTACAACGGCAATGCAAGATGAAAGTATTCCAGCTATTTGCTTCAACAATACATCGCATGCTACTCTTTGTTTTTACTTATAACACCGCCAGTGACATTTGAATTCTTTCACATTTAGGAAGCAATTAAACTAGCTTAAGAAAGGTCTGTGGTTCTATTTATTGCCGTCACGTGCTTACATAATGTACATAAGGGACCCCAGCTTTTCCTTCACCATTAGAATGGAAATTTGTCTAATGAACGTTACAGTGTCTTTGTGAGTTGAAACCAAACGAACAAAATACTGTTTGCATATCAAACTGACTATTTTTGCTCGGGTTTTAATATTGATACTGTAAACTACAGTGACAATTTCAGACAATTTGCAATATAAACAGTTCGAAACAATGATTACTTACTCTCATAGTTAAACACCAATGTATCGCTTAATATAGCAGAAAAACTGTAAAAAAATACGTCATTACCAATTGACTTTACAACTGCTTCCACTTTCAGAGGATAAAAAGTTTCTCGGGAAAGCCATCGTGTTTGCAAATGCTACTCACATTTGTATGGTAGATACCCAAGTATTGATCTTACCCCAGACAAAGCATTTTTGTGTATTCACCGTTATAAAACAGCAAAAGGTAATCGAGAATTTTATATATAAAATTGAAAAAGGTAATTCATGAGAAAAACAAAGGCGATAATTCACATGTGAAATAGAAAAAGAAAATATATTGGATGAAAAAACACTGAACAATGAAATTGTGCACAACGATGCTGGACACGTTTTTACTAAATTAGTGTTGTCTATTTGTCCCTTTGTGTGTTGTTTGTTTCTTTGTTTTATTACTTTCAGTACGAATTATACTTATTTTTCGCTTAAAATCGTAAAAACATATTGTGTTTCAGAGTTCAAAATATAAAAAAACTACATGTATTTAATATATGAAAGGAAACTGGAAATCCCGTAGAGCATTTTAAAGTTTAGAGTGATGAAATGTCTATAATTCATAAACGTAACGGTCAACCATGTTACAGTGAAAGAAATTTAATGAGTTCGAGTATCCATACAATTTTCTAGTTAACTTATTTAGCTTAAATGAGCCGCGTCACGACAAAACCAACATAATAGGTTTGCGACCAGCATGGATCCAGACCAGCCTGCGCATCCACGCAGTCTGATCAGGATCCATGCTGTTCGCTATCAGTTTCTCTACTTGTTTTAGGGTTGGTAAGCGAACAGCATGGATCCTGATCAGACTGCGCGGATGCGCAGGCTGGTCTGAATCCATGATGGTCGCAAACCCATTATGTTGGTTTTGTCGTGACGCGGCTCAAATTCTTTTACAGAGTTCACCTATTCCGAATATGCGTCGGAGAAGGCAAGTTGATTCATCCACAACAGCAGCTGCGAATAGCCCAACACCAACCGCAGCAAACAACCCAACACCTTCTTCTACCCCTCCAACAACACACACGCCTACCACAATGCCTAAAACAACAATACCTCCTACCCCAACGCCTCCAGCAACAACAACTGTTCCCACAACAACAATGATCCCTACAGGTATAACAGGAATATTATTTATAAATTTATGTTCATTTTCTAATTCTTTCTTATGTTATTTAAGGTTGTTTAATTTAGTCTTATGTTATTTGCCGTTATTCAATTGGGCGTCAATTTGATGCACTTTTATTTTACATTACCCATTTATTGCCAAATGATAACTGGCAACAACGGATACCATGCATTTTTACGTTGAATATAATGTAAAATTTGTTCATCGGGTAAAGACATCAATGGAAATAACTGACAACAATAACTGACTTGATATTCAAATGATTTGTGCACGTGCGTTAATGTTTTCACAAAATGCTGCACAGCTTTCCTTTATTAGATCCATAGTAAATACTTTATTTTAAAGTTTTTCTCTTTCGATTGCTTGATATCTGGTCGAATCATATCTGTTTGAAAACTTGCTACTTTTACGATTTTATATGACTCTTTATTTTGTGATGTATTGTATATATGACATGCTTGGAATGAGACAATAAACTATTAAACTCTACTTATTCTATACAATTAATTTATTTAACATTTTAGCTGCGCCTGGAGACATTATAAAACATTTTGATATGGATATGAAAAACAGGATCTTTTTCATAGTAACAGCGGATAATTCCATATATAAACGACTGATTGATTTATCTATCGAGAACGATGCAAAGGAGTTAATAGTGAAAGCATCTGGAAATATCAGCGGTTAGTTATATGTACACTTAGTACTGCCTACTTTAAAAAAGGTTTTGTTACGAAATTTATGGTTTTTATACCGTAAGAAAATGCAAATCTTTTAAATGTTTTGTTATTAAGTTAGAGCATCACTGGTGTTAAATTAAGAAAGCAGTATTGAATGCGAAATAATTTGTCATGAAAGTGGCAAAAGTCATATTTACAATTTGTCTGTCATACCATATATAAAATTTACTATAACTCTACCAGTATGGATGACATAGTGAAGACCATTTAGAACCGTTCGGAAATGTTTACGTTTAATTAGTGGTTCATTAATTCAAAGATGATGAAAACTTGTTTTGTGCAAAGGAAACAATGTTAATTCTTCTACAACTGTGTTTTGTTAATGATTCATAACCAAGGAGGCAATAGTCTATTTGAATAAACAGGAAGGGTTATTATTACTCATAAATTTTAACTTGTAATTCCTTTTTAATTTAAGGTATAGTATATGATGCTGAAGATTCGAACAACCTGTACTGGTGTGAATCAAATACAAATAATATTTGGGTTGTTAATATCGTTACAAGGGCTGTGAGGAAAGTTAATCTAGACAACGAAACTAGAATTGATAATCCACGAAGCCTTATTATTATGCTCAAAGAGAGGTAATCCTTTTGATTTAATTTTTGTTCTTATAAATATGTAAAGATATACTGCACCAGTTAAGTTTACATGGTTCCCATCCCCGAGGAATATCGGATACTTAAACTTTTGAATTCCCAACGCCTTGAAGAACCTTATCCAGCTGGACAATCAGTGTTGCTTAAATGCGAATTAACCATACCTCCAGCCAAGTTTGAGCAGAAAAAACGAAACTATATGCTGCATTACAAAATGTCCTAAGTATATGAAATTGTAGAAATTTTTTATATCTTAACTGGGGAATCAATTCGCCATACATAAGAGCACAATGGGTTAAAAGGAAAGGACTGATGGATAGTAATAGTTCGGGAATTTTCATCTGCTATTAGCCGTGTTTCTTCGTGGATGGGAGGGCCGCGTGCATAAAGGGTCTACAAACGGGTATCTTATACGTAAAGAGAAAGAAAATATCAAAACCGATTACATATGAGTAAGCCGTTCAATCGTTGCCATTTCAAATATTAACTCATCTTGGCATTCATATTTGATCTTCTTTTAATTCATCATTTTTGTAATTTAATTGTTTATGTGGTTTTGACAACAACAAGATATTAACTAAGATAAGGCGTAAGATTACCAGATATAAGTCGGTTTCATGTATCATTGACGCTTTTACAGGAAACTGGCTATGATAACTGGAACAGATGATGGTGATGAACGCTTTTCTATAAAAACAATGACTTTGGACGGACAAAACGTCGATGTTGTTGTGTCAGGAAAGAACGAAATTTCATCATTTTATTATAACCGCGAAGAACAAAGGTCAGTATTAAATGTAAATGTGGCACGAAGTTGTCTTTGCAATACAGTGTTGATAGCGTTTAAGTATTTTGTTATATTCTTGCAAGATTTCAACATAAATTACAGTACAGCCTATTATTATTTTGCGTTTTTTTCCCATAGGTATCATTAATTTAGCTGTCCCTATCAGTAAAATATTCTTGAAGATCAAAGAAAATCTCAAGTCAAAACCAGAAATGACTTTAACTTTTTGTCCTTTTCTTATTTAAAGTGGGTTATTTTAAGACAAACTGCAGATTTGACATATTTGATATACTTGTAATTTATTGTGTTTCTTAGACCGTAAAGTAACACCCATTCCAAGAGAAGCCGTAGCGTATTAACTTTTTTGAAATTGTGTCTGTGGTTTGAACTTTAAGGATCATTTATTTGGAATTTCGGGGTTATTTACTTGAACTTTCAGGGTCATTTACGTAGACTTTCGGGGTCATTTACTTTGACTTTCAGGGTCATTAACTCGGTCTTTCAGGGTCATTTACTCGGTCTTTCAGGGTCATTTACTTAGACTTTCAGGGTCATTTACTTGGACTTTCAGGGTCATTTATCTTAACTTTCTGGGTCATTTACATTAACTTTCATGGTCATTTACTTGGAATTACATGATCATTTAGTTAGTCTTACAGGGGCATTTACTTAGACCTTCAAGGTTATTTACTTGGACTTTCAGGGTCATTTATTAGGACTTTCAGGGTCATTTACCTTAACTTTCAGGGTCATTTACTTAGACTTTCAGGGTCATTTACTTGGACTTGCAGGATCATTTAGTTAGACCTACTGGGTCATTTACTTAGACTTTCAAGGTCATTTAGTTAGACGTTCAGGGTCATTTACCTTAACTTTCAGGGTCATTTACTTGGAATTACATGATCATTTAGTTAGTCTTACATGGGCATTTTCTTAGACCTTCAAGGTTATTTACTTGGACTTTCAGGGTCATTTACTTGGACTTTCAGGGTCATTTACTAGGACTTTCAGGATCATTTACTTGAACTTTCAGGGTCATTTACTTGGACTTTCATGATCAATTACTTGGACTTTCAGGATCATTTACCTGAACATTCAGAGTCATTTACTAGGACTTTCATGGTCATTTATTCCGATACTTTTAGCGTTGAGGTTTGAAATCCGTTTAAGCTGGTGCTAGAGGATGGGATGGGGTTTAGAGATGATGCATTGCATCTGAATAGACTCAAGTAAACAGAACCTGCTATTGTCAGCTACCGGTATTTGCTTGATTTTAATTGCTCTCAATGGATCTCCGCTTTTCATAGATTTTGTTACACCTCTACTACAGTTAAAACGTTTGTGATATTTCAGATTCTATTACAACAGAGGAGCATATGCTTATAAAGCTTCTCCTGATGGTAAAATTGATTCTGTAGAACATTACGGAGTCAGCATCCATACTTATATTTTGTTGCAGTATCAGGTGAGCACATGTTTAGTTGCAAAAACTTTAAATACAGATAATTGCTAGTACTCAATAACGTCATTATGCTTCTAAATGAATTAATCACATTTAATGCTGATTCTACACATTTGTTAATTTTGAATTACTGTATGCCTATCTTCGAATGAACGGCAACTTATCAGAAACAATAAAAAAAATAGAAGATTTTGTTCCGATAAACTGACAAGCTTTTTTTCAATAGTACCTTTTACTTTATTCAAACAAGTGGGATTTGCAGTTGTTACTTTTATCTAAATAAATTGGACCTAAAATACAACTGAATTCCATATCAAAACAATTTTGTTAAATTATGATACATTTTGGAGATGGACATTTAAATATATTTCTAACGGTCGTTTTGAATATAAGTTGCAATGTAATAAGTTAAGATTCAACAATATAAGATTAGTAAGTTAAGATTCAACAATACAAGATTAAATAGGTGTTAACAGGAGACTGTTTAATTTTTATACACGTTGTATATTTTCAGAATTTCATAGTTTGGGTTTACCACAACGATACACATAGTAATATTGTAAGGTCACGAAACACCTTGACAAATGTTAACATGAATCTTGTATCTTTTGATAATTCTGAATTAGTAGACATGAAACCTCTGGATGCCAGTATCCAAAATACAGATGTTGTTAGTAAGTATTTTGTTTACGCGTGATATTTGGTAAAATATTATTTAGGTATTCAGCAGTGTGGGGTCTGTGTGTCTGAACATGTGTTGAGGCTGCTTTCCATGAACGTCGCTCTTGCTTGTTGGTCTTTCTTATGTCCTCACCATGATAGGGGCAAGGGCGAATATAATGTTTCCGTTGTCCGTCCGTTCTTGTGTGCGTGCGTGGGTTTGAACAACTTGTCCATAACTATACCATGCATAATAGAATTTTAAAAGCAATATATCTACTCATAAAAATAAAATAAAGCAGATCATTGGTGGCATCATTTAAAGCGTATGTTTAACCAACATGGTAACTGATCTAGTTTTTGTTTGTTGTTGTTGTTGTTTTTTTTTGTTTTGTTTTTGCTGTTGAATAAAAACTTATTGAATTTAAACCTAGCAGTCAATTCAAACTTTAGGGGATTTCAAGAGCAAGGTTTAATAATCGTGCCATAGTATATAGCCTTATTAGGCTACACAGGTGTGCAAGCTGACTTTTCATTACAGTAGGGTAATCGTTAAGTTTCTTCTTTGTTTTACTTGCAGGTCCTTGTGCTTACGATAACGGAGGTTGTTCTCAAATTTGCGTCACACATTACGTTGACTCTAAAATAACACGGGTCTGTGAATGTCCAATAGGATATACAGTCGAAAATGAAGTCAACTGTACAACAAGTAAAGTACCTTTTAAGAGATTGTCCGTTTTTTTTAAATAGTACTTAAATTATTTTACCTATTTTACGTTTGATATGTGATTCGATTTTCAGTTGCTACTCTATGCATGTGCGGTTGCTACGGACTATTAAACCACTAATTTAAAATTGTTACAAATTAAAAGATATCTCTAGGCAGATACGGACAAGTTTATATTGATGACACCATAATAATTTGATTTCATTTGTTTTTCATTATAATTATTATTATTATTATTATTAATATTATTATTGTTGTTATTATTTGGTCTTGTTTTGTGTTGTTTCAAGTAAAAGTAGATATATTCTTGTTGACTTCGATACAAACTTTCAGACACGATATTTTATGTACACACACACACACATCTATTTTAGACAATGTTGATGACAATTTTCTGCTGGTAACTGATTGGTCTATAGAAGAGATATTACAGATTGATAATCTCACTAACGAAGTACACGTCGTTCCTGGGGATGAAGATGCTGAGTACATGGGCATTTTTGTTGATCAGAAAAAGAAACGGATGATATGGGCTCATTATTTTGATGAAGAAGTAGTGAGCGCCAATTTCAACGGATCTGACCGCAAAGTAATTGCAGACTTAGGTATATTTTTTATACCATATACTGTAAGATTTTTTTTCTGTATCATCAATGAAACATTTAAAAGGTCGTGCAGATATAACATATCAGTAATAAATAACATAATGATTATTAAAGAATTGAAAAAAGGATATCCCTTGAATACTTATTTGACGAAAGTAGACGAGAATGTAACAGACGTTTATTTATTGTCAGTTTACAATACAATTTTTAGTATAATAACTGTTTAAATATAGAAACATGTAGCGTTAATTTACTAGAATTGCCAACTTCTGAAAAGGCCAGTTTGTAGCGCACTTTTCTTTCTTTCTTTCGCTCTTTCCTTTTTCATTCCTCTTTCATTTCTTTATTTCATTCTATTTTTTTGCTGTTTTCTGTTATGTTTCATTGTTACCTTCAAGTATTTTTTACTATAAGATTAATTTGTCTCATTTTAGGATATTCTGGATATGCATACCGGTTTGACCAAGATGTCACCACTGGAAATATATATTATACCGCATATTTTGATACATACCTGGGGTTAATTACACCGGATGGACACTATACAATATTGAGTCAAGATTTCGGTTGGGATTCTTTACTAGATATTGCTGTATATCCTGTTAAAGGGTATGCAATTATTTCAATTTTGTTTGTAAACATGTTATTTACCTGAATAATTATGAACTTTTAACCACTTATTCTCACAGATATGAAGATAATAAGATAATTGATCTAACAGTTAAAAAATGATATCGTCACCTTAGTGCAATAACAGGTTAAGTCCTCCAAAATTTAATAGGAGTTAATCAGTTATTGCACTAAGGTGACATTATGCTAATACTTGAAAACCTTGTGTACAGTTATCAAGAAATTAAACTGCAAGAAGTAAAACATTTAAGCATACGAGTTTACAACAAAAAGCATTTAACACAGTTCATCCTTGTTTTAACAGTATTCCAATTAATGATTTACTATTAATGCAATTGTCAAACATAGCTCTTTTTTCCTTTTAGTTGGATGTACTTTACTTTAGACGGATACCCAAGTTACGTCGGTCGTTCCAACATGGATGGGTCTAACCATGAGCAGCTGATTTCTGGCGATCATGTTGGATACCCTGATGGTTTAGCAATCAATCATATAAGTAAGCTGTTTTTCTTTTAGAACCAAAACTTTTCGAAAAAGCAATATGATATTTTTAACCAAAAATCATTAATTTCACTCCATAAAAAATTAATTGTTATTCGAAAATTCGAAAAATGTTATAAATTTTGCAAACTAAAAGCAAAGAAAAGTATAATGATAGTGTATGCATATATGTACGTATGTCAACATCTTGTCCGGTCCTTACCCCTGTCATTCATAGTTGAATGATAACTTTGTACATGAATATAAACATGAACCTACGATTTGTTGCAAGATTCAAATTCATAGGTCCGAAATCAACAACATTGTTAGAGGGAAGGATTCGTAAGTCATAAGGCACATTCTGTGACATATGTCAAAAGAACAGGAACATCAATGTGTTACTGGCACAAATTGTAGTTATGTTTGGTTACATTACAATTTGAGTTTGATTTATTTCTCCTTTTTTGTATATAACATATGATCATGAATAATATTGTGTATAACATTGTATATATGAGCCGCGTCACGACAACACCAAAATAATGGGTTTGCGACCAGCATGGATCCAGACCAGCCTGCGCGTCTGCGCAGTCTGATCAGGATCAATGCTGTCCGCTGTCAGTTTCTCTACTTGTAAAAGAGTTGGTAAGCGAACACCATGGATCCTGATCAGACTGCGCGGATGCGCAGGCTGGTCTGGATCCATGTTGGTCGCAAACGCATTACGTTGGTTTTGTCGTGACGCGGCTCATATTATTTTCTTGCAACAGCTGATCGTCTCTATTGGTCGGATGCTACTTACGACACAATACAAGACTGTGACATGGATGGCCAGGATTGCATCACTATTGTGAATATGACCGCGCTTTCTATCCGTGAAGAAATTAGGGATTTGGTCACGGATGGAGTTTATCTTTATTACTCAACGTATCGGAAAGAGTAAATTCATTATTTCTGCTTGTTTTTTTAAAGATCCTGTATGTTGTAATTTAGGATGTTACCATGTCACGCCCGGCAAACTGTCGCTTCACTACAAAATTGTGGTGTACAGTAAAATGAGCGAACGGCAACTTCGTCATTGGAAAAAGTTTTCTCGGGTTTAATATATAAAAGAAAATTGTAACAGCTTAGATCATTACATTTTCCGTGTTCCGAAAAAATACAACTTAAATGAATAACAAGACAAAACATAAACAAAAAAAATAAACCTTACAATTAGCCGTTTAAATCGGCCTTCCGCTCTATCTCGTTTTAACTTACAACACAATTTTGAAGTGGAGCGACAGTTTGGCAGACGTGCATGTGTGGGTTTGGGTTTGTTTGCCCTTAGCTGTTACCACACTTAAGTGAAATTTTATGTTATATGCATTCATTTCTTATTAGAAAATATGGCTTACACTTTATCGAAAATAAATTTCTAATTTCCTGCGTTTATTAACCTGAAATGTAAATTGGGTAATACCTTTACAAATAATGCTGTTTGGAGCTTACAAGATTGGTTAATCTTTATTATTCAGCATCATATATATGATATAAAACCATAAAAAATGAGTTACAGGATCTTTAAATGTTTATTATATTTAAATGGCAATATTGAATTTCGTCCTTAGCAATGTCTTTTTTTTTAAAAGAAACAAAATAACTTACCCTGTAGCAAGTACCGGTTAACTAATTGGTGTGTGTGTGTGTGTCTACCAGCTTATAGTTTCACAATCGAATCAAAATTGATTTTATATAAACAGAGTCACTTTCGTAAATCGATTCGACTAACTTATTTAACTTATAACTTTGTTTTGATTTATATGGATGGATCTCCCATTTTCGGGATTCTTTGATTGTTAGTTGGAAATGTTCATAATGACAAATATTCTGACATCAATTGAATGCCGGCTAAATGAGTGTTGATGGGAATGTATTTTTTTCTCGTCTATACCATGTTTGCCTTTGAGGCTTTTATCTTTTGTAATTGTAACCAAGTGTTTATTTTTAGAAAAAAAGCATTTATTTAAATGATATAAAGCAAAAGAGAAATATTTTGTTTTCTGTAGTATTTTCATATGAAATCACAAAAATAAAAACAACAACAATAGTTTATTATGATTTTATATTTGAACAAACGCGATTGCAAATTGTGATTCAAAACACATGCAAACATTCCACGTTATGCTAAAATAATGTTATCTATATTCTTTATTTATTTCAGTCACGTGGTTCGTGTAAGTTTGAAGAAACCATATACAAGAACACCTGTTGGTCAGAATTATGCTCTAGGGAAACTAGACAGCATGACACTGTATAGTAGTACAGACATTAATATCCAGAAACGTAAGCCTCTTATTTATTGAAGGACAAACAAACAAACAAACAAAAATACTGTAATTTATTTCGAAAAGTTCATACTTGTTAATACATTGTAAAATCTTTGTATCAAGGGTTTGCTTTATTCATTTCACCACTCTTAAATCAAAGAATTCTATTTGAAGGCTATTGACAGATTCTACATTTGAATAAATATGTATTTTTAATGCTTGTTCATTTTACAAGCTCTAAATTACATGATGGAAAAATGAAAGCTAAAACCAGAAATCCATTTTAAATATCAGGGACACCAATTTTTTTCTAGATATAGATATTTATATTTGATTCATTGTAATGCCAACTCACTCCCATCCCACCCCTCTAAACTCTATTTTTTCATTCTCCTATTTGTTGCTTTTCCTGCTGGGGTTTAGCGGGACTGCGTTCCCGTTTGACTGGGTTTGGTTTTGGCGGGACTGCGCTTCATAAACGTTTTACTTCCTTTTTGATTCTCGAAACATCTGCGAATATTTCAAATTTAAAATTTTACCATTGTCATGATTAAATGTTTAATTCTACTTAAGGCGGTGCTAGGGAGAGTGAACGGTAACTTGAATTTTCCATTACCGTCCATGCACATACTCAATCAAACCAAGCCTGCAATTTTTCAATTTTTCGTTTTGTGCGATCTTTGGGGATTCTTAATCATTTAATTTTATTTATATTACACCCACTGAATAATAAATAAAACATAAATATTATGACGTTTATCCCAAGAAATCAATCAAATGCTTAAATAATCAACAACCTGAATGTTGATGCATAAACATTTCACAACATCCCACAAGTTTATCTTTGGTATGTAGTAAAAAGACATGTTTATATTTTAATACGTACATTGTAACATTGAAAACGAACCACAAACAGTAACACAAAATTGAAAACAAATCACAAACAGTAACACAAAATTTAAAAGTATTTAAAAATTGATGTGAAGTATGTACTTTGTGTCTTAATAGGTTGGATTTATAATGGTGTAGTGTACACCAAGCGCCACACAAACTTCACGGCATGTGTTCCCTGCCGCCCTATCATTATTTCTGCGTTTGGCATGTCAAAGTGACATTATTTTTATAGACAGTGGTGTGCCTTTGCTCCAAATTATGAATCTCTGATAGCACTAAAACGAAGCAAAACAAAAAACAAAACTACCTGAAAAAGATATGTTTGCATTTAGGTTGCGAGCCATCTCAAAACAATGCTGTGTTTTACTTTGCATGATATGTGAGTAATTGTGTTATGCCTAGCAAATATAGGGAAGTAAATTTACGATCACAATAAATGCTTAAATAAACTTACGATAAGAAAAGAACATCGTCTTTTTTTTAGCCAACAGTTTGTGTCAAGCTCGAAATGGCCTTGGAGACTGCAGTACAATATGTGTACCAACAGAACTCAGCAGGACATGTGCTTGTGAAGATGGTGTTAGTCTGAAAGCAGATCAGAGAACATGTGAAAATAGTAAGCTTTTCGCTTCATAGAAGTCAGCCTCATGTTAGATGTTAAATATCATTAAAACCTGAATATTAGCAAATTTGAATCATCAAAAGTAAATGACATATCATGCCTTAGAAATAAATAATATTTTGATTCTTTAAAACAGGCAAGCATGATATTTATGACGATTTTAAAATTGTTTAAAAGCATGTTTGAAGGTTTACACGTGAAGAACGTTGAGCTGAATGTGGTAATAGTTTTGGTAAAAGTTGCAAAATGTAAACAAAGTAGTATTTTGACTTCCATACAAAATACTTAATCACTTTATCTTTACTAATTCCCATAAAAACGGTTCAGAAAATGCCAAATGAGTTACATTTTGGACACTTTAACGAGACACCAAAAATAAAAAGCTTTTCAGAAATAATAATAAAATCATATCTTGAACATAATGGGCCATTAATAAAGTGTTTAAAACTTTACATTGTAATAGATAGTAGACCTATCTAAAAAGTCTTACGTTTAAGATGAGATCTTTCCAGATTTTGATGCTTAAAGATTATGTCGTTCTCAAATTGACAATAATAATCCAACCATGTACTTTACTGGAAGTATTTCTTTTTATTCTGATATTGGTATGGGATCAATTTTTGACATGAATTTCAAATGTCTTTAAAAAGTGTATTCTCATTTGTAACAGGATGTACTCTGACGATAATGTTTTATATTGTTTTTATTAGATGCACAATATGCCTCAGAAGTCCATACCTTTTTTGGAGATGTTTATTATTGTTTCAATAATTGATTAAGAGCATGCTGATATGTAAGATGTTTAACAACTTACGAAAGTACCACTGAACGTGCAGCAATATGTCCTTATAGTAGCAAAATGTAAACAAAGTAGTATTTTTGACTTCCATGCAAAATACTAATTCAATGTAATTATATCGATTGCCAACATAACAAATTCATCAACTTTAGTTCATCAGTATGGTATAATCTTTGGGAAACTGTAACAAGACATCAAAAACTGAAAGTTTTTGAAAATAAAAATGATAGCATTTTAAGGCATAATGGGCCTTTGACAACTCCAGTCTTGATAGTGTCTGTTTCTAATATATAAAAAAGAAAGTCTCTCTATCTTTATTTCAGTATATCAATGCCCAATCCTTATTGAACAGAAAGTTACCTCAGATACGGGTTTGGAAAAAACAATTGAAATAACTATTGAAAGAACTTGCAACAGATTTCTACACGATAAATGTAACTATGAATGCCCGAATAATTACGAACCATTGTTTGATACAGAAATGTCCTGTACTAGTGCAGGATGGAGCATGGAATCTCGCACATTATGCAAAGGTATGAAAACTTTTGCTGTTATACAGTTTGTTTTATTATTTATTTATTTCGTTTTTGTTTTTGTTTTGTATTTTCTTCAATAAATCATGAGTTGTACTGGAGACATTTCACATCGTCTAAAATGTTCATGTTTGAAAAAAAAGAAAAAAAAGAAAACTACGTACTAGCTGTTCTGTTTATTTGCAGAAGTAAGATGCCCATTAACCGTTGGTAATGGTAAAATTGTTGGCGATTGTAAACGTGAGGTCGGTGATAAATGTGAATACCAGTGTAACACCGGCTTTATACAGACACGTACAGCAGCAGTTTGTACGAAAACGGGACAATATCACGAGCCGGAAGGTGGTTTCTGCATACGTAAGTTATATTTTATGCTGCTTAATATGATTTTTAGAGCGTTAAACAAACCATTTATTAACAGATGTTAGACAAACGCCAACGAAAACGATAAAATGCTTTCCCCAAGAATATTTTTAAAAAAAATATAGTTTAAACATATTTATTTCAATATTTCACATTATTTTACATTTATATGTATATAATTATGACTTATTATTGAAATGGAATAGAACGGAAGAAAACTTATATAGTTCCTCTCCCTAAAAATAATTTTGAAATGAAAATTTATAAAATTTTACTATGTACATTTTGCAATTATAATATTTATATATCATTTTTATACATATTGTAGAAACATTTAAGATATAAAATGTCATGTCATGCTACCTTTAAGTTGTTCTAAGCGTTCGTGTTTATTGATCTTTTTATGTTAAGCATAATAGGGGTTGGATATAGTCACTACATTTTTAACACGAGTGAGGTTATTATAACTGTACACTATTGTGGTGATTGTGTTCATCCATAAAAACGTTAAAATAATAAAACACATATACATATGTATTTAATCGTGATCACATTTTCTTTTTTTATTATCAACTACTTAATTGTAAACGAGTTTAACTAAACGAATGTGGAACGGTTAATTTTTGAAAACAAAAATAAAAAAAATATAGAGTGGAAAAATACGTTGTAAACGACACTTGTAACTCATTTTTATGGGTTTAAATAATAAATATAATGCTTAAATTAAGATTTATCGATATTGTAAGTTCCAAAAAGCATTATCTGTAAAGATATTACCGAATTTACATTTCATGTTAATAAAGGGAGGTAACTAGAAATTTATTTTCTATAAAGTCTAAGTAAGAAATGAATGAATATACATATATTTGAATGATCACATATAATATGCGCAAATTATTGCAGTACATATTTTTCGATGTTTCAAAATTGTTTTAGAAGCATAATTATATACATACATAGAATTTCACTTAAGTGTGGTAACAACATTAATTACAGCATACAGGATCTTTAAATGAATAGAATATATGGCATGAAATATTTTACAGCATTCAAGTGTAGTGACACTATCGAAAACGGCATGATGGGCAAAGATTGTACGAGACTTACTGGCAGCACATGTGACTACATGTGCAATAAGTTTTATGCTCCAAATCCTAAATACCCTAAAGCACAGTGTCAAGGAACTGGATGGAGTCCTGACTCGTCTAGTCTTTGTCAAGGTTAGCATTTCACTTCAGATAAATGAGCAAATGAAGACACATTATTGGATAGCAACATTATATATTACTAGTAAATGTGTTAAAAAAAAGACTTCTGATTCAAATAATTTATATCTCACATTCAAATTATTTAGATCCCGCATTTACATAATTTAACAAAACTGTTGTGTTTTTTCAAAACATCAATATTTAGTAAAACATGCCTGAAAAACTTTCTTAACTTTTTCGCGCCAATTTTGAATGTTGAGTGCAGAAGTGTAAAGCAATCAGTGCGTGTTAACGAGCATACCTTGTGTGTTTAACATGGTTATACGAAAACGAACATTTTTCTAACATTCATTTTTTTGTGTCTAGAAACAACGTGTCAAGCTGATTCCTTCCCTAACGGACAGTTCTCGCCAACATGTCTACACAAAATAGGTGATGCATGTACATTTACCTGTAAGCCAGGCTATGTCAAAACAACTGAACTAGCTTTTTGTAAAAATGACAAAATGTGGCACCCTGAAGATGCATGCTCCGGTGAGTATATAGAGGATGTTTTATGATAATTCAGACAAGGATAATTGAAAAATGAGAATTAAGAATGATACTATTTTTTATGTAACGGTCCTGTGTAATTGATCAATAGAAGTATTGATAAACACGCTCAATTAACGCGCTTTATTTCCATTAAAAACTTAAAATTGTGGCACTATACTGATTATTTTTTAATCTTGGTTCATACTTTGATATAGATTATCTATATTGTCTTATAAACTGTCCAAATTTAAAGCCTTCGCAAATACATTACACGGATTTAGTCAGTTTAATATTATTTAGTTGTCTTTTATACGGCTTCAAAAAGTATTTCCATTAAACGAGTTGACACGAGTTCTATATAATGAATGTATAGATTATACAAGGTTACATTATTTGAAACATAATTTTTGTTTTTTATAAAATTTGAAAACCCTAAATTAGCAGATTTTTGTTTATTTTGGGCACGAAACCCTGGAATATGTATTTTTACGATTAGATTTTTGTAAATATATGGCAAAAGATCGTAATGTTTTCCCAAATTTGAGAAAAGCCCTTGGGAATTTGATAAGGGTCAAAATTGGGGTCGCCCATTAAGGGGGGTTGCGGGAACATTATTTTTTCCAAAATAGCTTATAATCTTGATATAAAAATCGATTATTTTCAAATCAGAAAATTTGTTATTAATTCCCAAAAACAAAACTTTTTATATTTTAAACTATTTTGGTACTTTTTAAGCATTAATTTTTGTAAAATTTTTTTCTTTTTTGGCAGAAATTTTAAGCTGGGGGCGACAAAAAAAAAACGGTTTTTTTAAAAGACAAAATTTTTTTAATTGATGGTAGGCGTACTTCCCAACTATTTTGCGATAAAATTTTATGACCCTGCTGAAAAAAAGGGGCGGGCCCCAAAATGCAAAATCTACAGGGTGGACTCCAATGAGCTTTCCCCAAAAAGGGTTTAGCATTAATTACATAAAAAATTTTATACCGTTATTTAAGTTGCTTTCTGTTTTCTAAATATGGTCTCAGAACATTGGGAGGCCTATTGTTATCTTGTCTTGCCTCATCGAGGGAATGTCGAGGAATGTACTGCAGAAATGTGCGGTATTGTTTCATGTTTGTCTCTTTCAAAACATAACACTTATTTAAAATAACAGCCTGCTTTAAAATGAATAATGCAGAATTACATTTCTTGCAAAAAAACAAGTCGTAAAATTTCCTCATGGTAAATGCTTTATACCATTACCGATTGTTTTGAAGGTTGAATACATTCAGCCAACCTTAGACAAATCTAGTTTGTATTTGTACATAAATTATGTTCATTTAAGAAACACTGTTATAATGTGCAATTTACAATATTTACTATATATTTATATTCCATGTTTAATTTCAGTCTAGAAATCAAAAATAAAATTGTCAAATTTGATGTTAACTAGCTTGATTGATTTATGAAAATTTTATGTCCAAAGCATTATTTATAAATTTGTTGATGATAAACAATCGATCTTATTACAGAATCAATCTGCGAAGATACCTCTTTGACAAACGGGAAAGTTATTGGAAGCTGCTCAAAGAAGATTGGGATAGATTGTGCAGTTGTATGTAACCAAGGCTATGTAAATATGACAGACAAAGCATTCTGTAGAAATGACAAGAAGTGGTATCCCCTCAATGCTTGCACGGGTATTTTTTAATTGTTTCTTTTTTACATTAAAATTGTCATTTCCTTTCAAACTCTTAATTACTATAGATATTTTCCTACTTTTTGTTATTTTTGTTTAAAAAAAAATAAAATCCCTTTTGAAATCACAAAACCCTTTTTTTAAAAATTGTTTCCCCGCTAAAGCAATTAAAATACTGAATAAAGGCCCTCTCGATGTGGTTTTTCCCTTGTTAAAGTTTAAGTAACAAAACTGTTTTGACTTTTAAAATTTATTTTTTTTTTGGGTTTAAATCTGTATAAATATTGAAAAATTTACCAGTCAAAATTTAAAATTTTCCCGGAATACACGTGTAGTGAAACCCATTGCAAAGGAGCTTGATAAAAGGGCTGTTCTGGGAGCTGTGGGAAAGGCACATGCATTTTAAAAGTGTGACAAACTTTATAATGCTCCGACGCAGGCCACTTTGCACTGCTGAGGGTTTGGAGCACAGGGGGTTCCGGCAATCTTTTGTAAAGGGTCAACTTTTTATTAACTTTTTAAATTTAATGTAAAATTTTTTAAATCAAAAAAATTTTTTTATTTACTTCTCATATGCTTTCATATGACCTCATGTTATAGATTACAAACATATTGAAGATGTAACGAGCAACTTTGATTAATTTATTATTTTAAAACAATTTCGTATCCATTTTTGTATGTTTAATGGTTTTGTGTCATGTTTTTTTATAAAGACATTTTGTCTAAAGTAGTCTTTGTTTCGAAAACCTTTAGACTATAAAAGGAATCTTGCAATGCATCCAAGCAAAAAGTCATTTTCATTTGGTGTTTTTTTTTGAAATTTTATCGAAAAACCCTCAATTTTCCAATTTCCCCAATTTGGGCATATAAAATGACAGTGTCAAAAATTTTTTTAAATGTGTGATAATAAAAACCTTTCAAACCCAAGCTGTTTTTGTCCTCATTTTGTCCCTAAGGGAAAGGAAAAAATTGGGCTAAAAATTGGGATTTGGGACGGGGGGATCGACTTGAAATTTACAAATCAACTCTGGTTTCGAGGCCCAAAAATTTTCATCCAAATGAAACGTGTAAACCCCCGGAAAGGGGGTTTAAACTGAAACCTTTGTTTGGGTTTTTGAATTTATCGTTTTACGTCTAAATTTCGGCATTTTCTTGAAAAACGTAAGGGTTTAAAGAAAAAATTTTCATGTTTCTACTTTTACTTTTACGTTTTTTTTTGTCGTTTTATTTTGTTTTTTTTTGATAATCTTTAAACGTGCGTCTATAAATTTATCTGTGAATAAAAAAATTAAACATTGTGTTGTTTAATCAATATTGTAATTTTTTTTGTTCACAAGGACCCCTTCAAATACTATTTTATAAATCCACATATTTTTTATGAATACAAAATCATAATGTTTAAAGATTTTAAAGGGTTTAAAGTTTTGTATAAATGATTTTCATTTGGGTTTTCATAAATTTGGGAAAAGGAAAAAAAGATTTTTGGGACAATTAACGTTTTTCCCAATTTTAAGGGAAACATCAAAAAACTTTGCATTTTTGAACAAATAAAATTTCCCAGTCCCAAATAAAAAGTCAAAATCTGGGGGGTTGTGGGGTACCGGGTTTGGCAAACAGCCGGAATTGTCTGTACTAGGGATTCTTTTTTCCTTGTTTTTTAAATTGTTTTTTCGTTTGTTTATTTTGGGGGGTTAAGAATTGGGATCCCCCTTTTTTTACATTTTGGGGTCCAATCAACTATTGTCCGAAAAAAATTTCGATAGAACTGGGAATTTACAGCGAAAGCCAGCGCAAAATGATGGGGGGGTTTAAAAGGCTCGATTGACGTTTTAATCATCGAATTTTCATTGTGGCCCTTAAAATTTCAAAATCAAAAGATAGACCTAGAAAAGTAAAGATCCTTTTTCATAAATAAATAACGTACAAACATAAGGGAAAACGAATAGCAAAAGTTGACTTTGTTAATGATTTTTTGTTTGGAACTTTTGTCTTTTGGAATTCATTTTGGGTTTCAAAAATAACACTTTGTTACAATAATTTCACTCTCGTAAAACTATATTTAAACCAGTGCACCAGAAATTTTTTAGCCAACCCCCTTATCTCCCCTTTAAATTTGGAGGCGAAAAAGTTTTTAAATTGAAAAAATTACCCTCCTATATTTATAAAGAAAAGGTTAAAATTGAGTTTTTTCATACTAGACCTTTGTAGAATCAAACAGACTGATTCCACAACTATTTATGATGGTAATCGATGAGAAGTTTCCCTTGGCAAAAAAATTTGAAAGGCCCCTCTTGCCCCAAAATTTTTATGAGTTTTACCGTTGGACATGTTATCATGAACAATCACTTTAGACCGATACAAAATTTCAAAATCCAACAGATTAATAGAAAATAGTAAAAAAATCGGAAAACAAAGAGGTACCCAACCCTCGCAAAAAAATCATTTCAAAAAAAATCAAAGCTTAACAAGGTGAAATTTGCAAATACTAAACAAAAAAAAAAAATTTCCCGGTTTTTTTTAGCCGTTGTTTAAAGGGCCCTTTTGGTCTTTTTGATTTAAGGGTCATTTAATTTTTTTTCATAAAAACATCCCCATTTTGTTCTAACTCCTGAAAAAATTATTCGGGGTTGTTTTTTCATTTTTTTTAAAAAACCCTGATTTAAAAGCTTTTAATTCTGTTTTCAACTTTAAAATTTAAATTTTATACAAAAAAACACTTCCCTTTAAGCATACATGATCATTTTAAACTAAAGTGGGTTTACTTCAAATGTTCAAAATTTTTAAACAATATTTGTTTTGGGGCTGTACAAAGAAAACATTTCTAAAAAAAAACCCTTTTCCCCAATTACGAAATTTTATTATTAAATTGATTTTAAAAGGGTTTGTTTTTCTTTCAATATATAAGGAAGAAGAGAAGTCGTAAAATTTAATAGCAATTTCGATGATACAATTAGTGTTGGGAATAAAAAACCCCGGGTCCGGCGAGGCAGATTTTCCTGACCCTAATAGGGAAATGCCCCCTCAATACGAAACCCTTCGGATTTTGCCCCGATGAACCCAGTCACGAAACCGAAAAATTTTTTTTTAATTTTGTTGTTTTTTATTTAAATGTGTCCCCCCTCTTAAAAAAATTTTGGGTTTTTGTTTTTTTTAAAATTTTTTGGGGAAATTTTTTAGAAAAATGCTTTTTGTATTTAGTAAAAAGAACAACAAAACAAATAGGCCTATAGTAGCAAGACTAATAATAATAAAGACAGTTGACGTTGCCAAAGGACCGCCAACAACCGTTTGAGTAAATATACATGATTAAATGAAATATTTTTGTAATTGCGTCTGATAATGTAGGTTCTGAACATATGTAGCTGACTAGAGAACTTTGCAGACAAGCATTGTATTTACATAGTACTTACTTGTATAATAACCTTTATTTTTCTGTGTTTCAACATTTCAGGTCTTCTAAAAATTGATGAATATTTTCTATTTTCGTACCGTAAAACTCCGAAATGTATTCATTGTATCATTAAGATGATCATACTTGTGATAAAATTATTTCGATAATGCTTTTCTATGTCACACAAAAATTCAATGCATTTATTTCACATTAATTTATCTATTTGTAGATTTGCTTCACCGGCTGTATTAGATGATGGCAATTTATGAGAGCGGTGTTGTTGGCAGAAAAATGTTTTGTTGCTTGGTGCAGAAAAACTATGAACTAAATTGTATTACATTTGGCTTCATATGTCACTGATTTACTTCTTGTATAATAATGTTTTCAGTTTTGTAAATCTCATACTTTTATAATGATACATTATATTATCATTTACATAAATACGTATTATTTCATTTTAACGAATTGAATCTTATAAGGCATAAAATATATCCAGGCTGTACTAGATGCAGTGTCTGAACTATGCTCTGTTGAATTCAAAGTGACTTACTGCCGTGGACCAGAGTGAAAAGTGCAAACACAACGACCGGATGAAAGTAAATTATTTCTTCATTTAAAGTTTTTTTAGATTTGGGGGAATGCAACAAAAAGGGGCCCATCGGGGCTGAACCTTGTTTTAAAAACCCAAATTCAAAAAAGGGTTTTCATTAAAAAAAATATGTTTTTTAACCCCATTTTAAATTAAAGTACCTATTTTGATTCAAGTGTAAAAAATTGGGGTAGAATTGTAAATGGTAAAATCTACAAAATTTCTGTAGAAATATTTTTTTTTGCTGTGTTCTTCCATTTAAACATTTATTCGAAATTTTTAAGAATCTTTTTGTTTTCCCCTTTCCCAAATCGCTTTAGGGTTTCAGAATTTCGTTTTGTCTTTTTTAAAGACATATCAAACTAAAATATTTACCCCATTTTTTTAATGTAAATTGGTCTTTGGAGGATTTTGGGTGGTCAGTTTTAATTTTTTGTATGAAATTTTATATTTTAGCTGTTACATTTAAGAATTTTAAATGGAATAAGGAAAAAGGGCCTAAACCTAGCTGTCTGACAGAATTTATTATACCATGTAATAATTATATGTTAACACTACAGAATTTATTATTCAAAACTATAATGTAAGGGTATAATATCATCGTCTTTATTAAAACCCCATCAGCTTTGCATTTTGTTTCCAAGAAGTTTACAAAATTTAGGCCGACTAATCACTCATCACTTCTACACTCTTATTTTCTTTTCGTTTAAATACACGGCTATTTCATATTTCTTTGATATCTCATTGAACCACCCGTCGTGGAACATAAATTCGTCCCCGCTTGGAGATTAAGTTTAGGGGAATTGATTTTTCATTTTCGAAAAAAGGATATCGTTGAACGGGAGCCTACCGGAAGTTGATATTTCCCCTGGCAACTATTCTTATTTTTTCTAATATACTAGTTTTTTTTTCAACATGTATTCTAGTAGCGTTAAAAATGTAACTATTTTGCCTATAATATATCATATTTTTTTCCATATACTTAAATCGTTCACAAA